TATTCTATTACCTAATGAATTTATACTCATATCCAGAATCTTGTAATAGGTGAAGTTTTGTTCTAGGTGCTTTCTCAATTGCCCCAGTAATAGCTCTAATCTCTTTAACAATTACAAATTATAATTGCTTTGTCTGCCCCGCCTTTATTGCAAGTTTAAAGTTACTCAGATTCCTCTACTTGCCAAACTGCATTTACACCTCAACTGTTTTTACACTTCATTTTGCTGTCTCCAACTATAAATCTAAGAGCAGTGAGCAGTAACCACAGATGGTATGCCACCTTGAAACTGTCTCCCCCAAACAACTCAGTTCATCATTTCTGAGTTCACCTTCATTAAGATTTTCAGGGCACAGACAGAATACAGAGATCCTTTGCTGAAGTGTGACATGAATGGCTTCCAGTCCAATTCCTGATAGAGTCCTCACTGAGGGAAGTGTAACAAATTGTGGCAACACAGTGGGAGCCAGAGTTCACTGTGTTAAACAGAATAAATTTCTGCATTCTCCCACTCCAATGTGCAATATGAAGTGGTATATCTCAGAGAAGCTGAGAGGATGGTGGTTACCAGGATTTGGGATAAATAACAATGATGGGTGATCAGTGGAGACCACATTATGTAAGAACAAGAAGTTCTGATGTGCCACTTCACAGTAGAGTAAATATGATGTACTGTATCTTTCAAAATGCTGGAAAATGACTTTGAATGTTTTCACTATGAAAAATAAAAAAGGTTTGATGAGATAGATATTTATCCTTATTGAAATATTGCACAATGTGTATGTGTATTGAAACATCACATAGTACCCAATAGATGTGTAATTTTCAAGCACAAGTATTAGATTAAAGTATTAGATTAAAAATAAATTAAATTTTAATTTAAAAATTTAAAATAACCTAAGAGTCAAAGTCATTGAGGATGAGTTTTGTTTGGGAGAGGGTTCTGATACTTAACAGGTAACACTTTAAAAGTAAAATGGTTTCCCTATTTTAGTAGTTATCATGTGAATAAAAACAATAATTTAATATATTATATCTTTTCAGATATGTATTACCCATATCTGTAGAAAGCATTACACGGATAAGAAAATTGTTTCATTTATTATCAAACCGAGAGGAGATTATAATTGTAATTCCCTATCTATAAAACCAGCAAGGAAGAAGAATAGATGAAATAACCAGCTTAAGAAGTACTGAACTGCATGTGGGTAGAAAGAATACTGACACTCTGTCAATACAAGTTATTGCTGCAAGTTTATAACCTGGTAGACAGAATATAGACATGATCGAATGTTAAATAAACTAGAATGATTTAAATCTGTAATAGAGTTCTGAGGTTGTTGAGATTTGTTTCGATTCTTCATTTTACTGGCTGCACATTAGAAATTGCTGAACTGATTCAAAACACCACATCCGTCACAGACTCATTACTTATATAAAAATGGCAAATCTATGTAATCCTCGTCTTTCACAAATCTTCTCTGAAGAAAACCTATTTCACTAGCCAAGTATTCTCTGAGAATTTTATAAGAAAGTTAAAGGATGCCTTTGTTTACTTTTCTTTAATATCATCATGAGAATGGTAGAGTCTTATGATCATATGGATTCTGCAAACCTCCTTTATCAGTCATTATAGGTGTTGGGAAGTATTGGAATATATGTGTGTGTATGTATGTGCATATATATATAATGTGTATACGTATGTATAGACATGTGTACACAAACACACACATATATTCTAACCAAAAGAAAACAATTGTTGTTGTCTATAATAGAAAAGGATGATAAAGGAGTTTTGTAATTATCTTCAGAACATAAGTAAGTGATTTTTCAGATTTTGATTCTTATGTAGTTAAGACTTCATAACAACATCTGACTATTTATATATTTTATGATCTAGAAAATGATAACTTTGGGTAGTTTGGGAGATGTAACATCAAACCAATGAACATTCTTAAATTAAGTGGTAATTTTGAGAACCGACTGAGGTTAAAGCATCCTGGAGTATGCTCATTGTCTGTAACTCAATTCAGCCACTAGGATGATGCTGTGGTATGCGGCATTTGGGCAGCAGACTAAAATTTACTAAAGGAAATGAGCTCAGATATCTTTGAAAATTTAGAAAATGAATCCATTACTTCTAAGTATATCTTCTAGGAGCAGTCATAGTCTTAGAATATACAATATATGATTTACATATGTAATTGTGCACATTGAAAAGGCAAGTCAAAGAGGGAATGTGTACCAAAAAGCTTCACTCACCTAAAATGGAAAAAAGAATAGCATCCGAATTTTCATAAGTTCCCTTATTTCTTTGTATTTTTTTCACAGATGCAATAAGGGACTACAAGTTTGCCTTTAACCTTCTCATTGTAACTACATATTTCCTGTAGAAAACCATTAGGAAATGAATTACAGATTAAATTCTAAGAGTAGTCTGAAAAAAAAAATAACCACGGTTCTTCAGTTCAGCCACTCTCAACTGAGAGTTCTGCATAAAAGGTAAAAATGGCTCAAAAAAAGTCTCTAATTCACAAGAAATGGGGGAGTCTTCATCCTCATCATTCTAAATGAGAAGTGAAACTTGCTGCTGATGGATTTTCAGACTGCAAAATGGACCTACAAAAGAGTTTTAACTAGAACTAAGCCCAGAGTACCTTGTATTCACACAGTTAGGAATCTTGCTGAAATAATTCAGTGTTGATTTCATAAGGATAGTGAAATCAGTAAGAAAATAGAAATTGACTTTATGAAGCACCTACTAAGCTCCTGGTCTCATGGTAATCAACCTTGAGAATCACAGTGAATGAAAATACAAGTCTCTGAAGGAAAAAGACAAAGCAAGACAAAGGCCAAGCAGAGCATGTCATAGCATACACAATAGCAATGATGGGGATCTATTGGAAATGTCAGCATGAAGGCTTGCAAGGATATACAGAGTTTAAATTCTGGAGGGGGGAACATTGTGGGGGTATTGCAGAGAGGAACAAGTTAAGAAATAACTGTGACTGATGAATAGCAATTGGAATGCAGAATTGAACAAGAGAAAGTAGTAGACGGCTGGTAGAACAAGGATGACAGTGTTTGTTAGGAAAATGTCCTTCACTGGAGTTAATGGTCAGCCAGACTAGACTTAGAGATACGATCCACTCATCTCTTCTGAGATGCAGCTATACCATAAAAGTTCAATAATCCAAAGCACCAGATGTGATGCCTAATACTGCCCCTTGCTGGCTTTTGGTTCAAGAAACATACTTTATTTTTCTATCCCTCAATTTCTTTATCTGTGTCATAGGGGTGTAGCAATGCAAGGAAGTGTTTATAAGCTCTTTGATTCTAACAAAACTCAAATTATATACTTTAAAATGAACACTTGACAGCAGTGGTCAGGAGCTATTACAGAGGTATGAAAAATGCAGAGGGAGCATAATTCAGGTACCCATAACAGTAACTCAACATTCTTCCTTAGTACTCATAACTTGAATATTTGCTTAGAATTTGGGGTTGAGATACAAAAATAGCTTTTGATTTTTCTCCACTTTCCTACCTAAGTGTTGGCATTAGCTTGCTACCTCTTGGCTCTCTGAAACCAATGGACAAATAAAGGGCAGAGTGACAAGGTTTCAGGCTTCAAACCAGGTCTTCTTGATCCCTGTCCATGAGAGTGCTGACAGGTCATCTCACCTCTGGAATTGCCGATAAAGTTTTTTGTTCATATGGTTAAGATTAATAGCTTTAAGGGTCATTACAGAACATAAGTTAATATTCTCTCCAAATGGAAAATTTCCTTAGGTTTGAATTCTATGCATGATAAATTGGGAGCTTTATTGCACCTTTTGACCTTTAGCTCATCTTTCTTTAAAATATACATTCAAATGTAAAATCTAGCATTTGCATACATTGAAGCAATTTATGATGGCTACCCTTTCTAACCTGCAAGGTTTTGAGTTCAGGAAAAAAGACTTGAATTACGAGTCCAACATTTTCATCCTTGGCATTGGCATAGGTTCTTTCCAGATCAATTTTTTGTGTCCTAAAAATAGCTATGTGCCATTCAGATTGAATCATCAAGAATTCTAATCAGAAATAAAAAAATGTAGAAAGAAAAAGTAAGCATTGATAGATTCCTATTTCAGGTAAATATCATTTTCCACTCAATTGAAATTTTATCTTTTAAGCCTGTGCAATTGGAGAGAGCAAATACATTCCTTTCTTTGAAACAAATCAAAGTTATTTATGTCAAATATTCTACCTAATAGAGATATATTGGGAACCGTAACAACTGGTGTGATAAAAGGAGAAGTAAATGATGCTCCGTTTCTGATCTTTGCTTCTGCACTAGACTACAAGTCAGTTATCTGTTTTTCATGCTTTACCATCAGCTCTCTGCTGATCAAATCTGTATCCAATAAAGAGATGACCAGGCATGGGTGTGTGATATTCATCAATCTGCTGAAAATTATTCTGCTTGAAATCCCTTAAAAGCAGTCTATGTCTGATCTTTTATAAGTAATCAAAGAGGATTTATGAATTTCTCCTTTCTGCTTTGATTTAGAAATAATTTCAGAACTGCCCACTCTAAGTAAGGAAAAAAGTGCTACAACATCATGGAAGCCATGCCACAACTGTAAAAACAGAAGCGATGTCTGCTTAAATGATGACTTCAGTGTCCTGGTTGTCATTTATGGAAAAACTAGAGGAAAAAAAAACACACACACACACAGTCTATACAAACAATTTGCAAGACATTTGTAAAACATGTTTAATTACTTTGTAACTCAGATTATAATCCATGTCCTTTTGTGAACTCAAAAAGAAATAATGCTATAGAGAAAAAACAAAAGGAAAAGCACATATGAGAACACTTTCATGAAAGAGGTTGGAAAGTGAAGTTCACCTTTTAAAAATACAAAGAAGTTAGCTATGGCAGCTGGAAATCTCTACCTGCCGCACATCTCTCTGTAATTGCTCTAACAATGTGTGTTCTTGGCTTTCTTTTAGGCCGACCAGTAATGATCGTGGTAGAGTATATGGAGAATGGATCCCTCGACTCCTTTTTGCGGGTAAGGTGCTCTTTCCTGGTGCCGTTTAAATAAGCTATTCTGAGATCCATACTTGAAATCATTCCATGAATTAATTTCTATATAATGTTATGCATGAGTTTTCTGTGGAGAAGGGCAGCATTTTCTCTGGATGCATTTCTCTGGTTCTATGATGCACTAAAGCATTACTGAGGGGACAGGATGCACACATAATAATATAATTGATTTCTCCTATAAATTTACTTGCCATATTAATGATTATAACATATATATATTATATATATATACTAAATGATTCTACTATCAATTAAGAAGTAAAAATAAAATTCCATTGCCACTTATAGCTGTTCATGCAGCCGTATTTACCAATTTAGTGTGATATTTTACACATTTTCTAAAGTGCTGAGCCCTTACATTGCTGTCCCAAATTCTGCCAATTTTGTCCCTCATGTTCATTCGGCTGTTTAAAGAGGAAAAGAACAAATAAGATTCCTTTAGCAGTGATATCTTTTAGAATAAAAATTGAAAACTCATTCAGTTTAAGATGACTTCACATGAATATATAGTGGAACAAACTAAAGCTAGCAAAGTCTCAACATCATTTTTCAAAGTGTATTCATCACATGTTAAGCTTTAAAGCACCACAATACACTTGGAAAACACACATGGATAGTGAAAAGTGAAATGACATATAAAACTATTCACTGAAGTAGATGTTTCTATCCCCAGGAGAGGTGATGTATTTACGTGCTGGTGAACTCTTTAACATATCCAACCAAAGGCATAAAAAGTATCTGTGCTTATGAAATGCCTGAGTTTTCTTCCAGTTAGAATCTGTTGTCTTTCTTTGTAGTCCCACCTCATTTTCTGTCCCGTGCTATTTAGATATTTTCCATTTGCATCTGTCTGTCTCCCGTGATCTCATTTCCACTTATTTTGCCTGATTCCTGTCCTCTCTTTCCAACTGTTCTCAATGTTGGTGGGGACGATGTCTCAGTCCTGTGACTTAGCTTGATGTCCAGATTCAATCCCTGAAGCTGAATTCAGCATCATCTTCAGGTTGTAATAAATAGAAACTACATCCACAGCACACACTCTTAACCAAGCGTGCTCTTTAAGGCAACATGAAATTCATAGGTTGGGGACATGAGCTGTTTGTTCTCTGCTGTGACCATTTCAGAATATTCTACCTATAATTTTACCTGTAAATGTTCTAAATTATTTTAGAATAATTTATCAGGGACACCTATGGGGCTTGAAATACATGTATACTTATGTCTTTTCATTATTTTTGTTCAAAACATATTTTTATCAGATATATATCAAAATGATTCACTATCTAATAATGTTTGGCATAGGTTGGTTTTACATTTTTTATAACAACTACCCAAAGCAAACTATAACAGCAAATAATGTAGCAGACATTCAATTTAAATTACTGTTAAAAATTGGACCAAATGGATGGTAAAAAAAATTAGGTGGAAAATGTTAGTTTCAGATAAACTTTTATTCTACTGAACAAGGAATACGTTACAATATGTGTGGGGTCCTACAGAAGCTCCCTAGTAAGGCCTTATTCAAGGTCAGAAAGTCTGAGCTTGCTTTACCTAGCAGGGCTGCATAATAGGATGATTTGACCAAGGGCATTGTTGCCAGGTATTTCAAAGGGTCTACACTTTATACCTTGACATTGGAAGGGAGAGGTCTTTTACCTCTCCCCTTGCTGATGTATAAATGGCCCATTATGAATAGAGTCCAGGAAACTGGGTATCAACCCAGGGGCCTCCCGAAGCTATCCTGTGTCTCTGTTTTTCTCACCATCTCTGTCTATATTTCTATCTAATACTTCCTCATTCCTCACTCCTCCCCCCAAGAACCCTTTGACAGGTCAGAGCTGGTCTTCAGCAAATATGTACAAAGAATCAATAATTAAAAGATGTGACATCCTATATCACATGCTTATAAATGGTGTATTTCCTGAGTTAACTTTTCAAAACTAGCATTTTTCAGCTCTAAGTATGCACCATATAGGTAACTGACAGTCTAGAAAGAAGCAAAGCTTTAATTGGTGCTGGCCACCATTAATACTACTATGAAAATCTGGATGCCTATGTCTGTTAATCCTAGCTCTGCCTCATATTACCTGTGGGTCCATAGACGTGATGGTACCTTTCCTGGATCTCTTCTGGTCCATGTATGTAACAGCACAGTAAAAAGTACCTTCCTCCTATAGTTGTTAAAAGAACTTTATTGACTGGTGTAAGTAAAATTTATCAGAAAAGATCCACACGTAAGTCTTCATGACTCCAAAAGTGATGCTTTTCTCTGCTGTGAATTCTCTTCATTGAGTTGATATGTGATTCTCCTTGTAAGGCACTGTCAACTCTGCACACCATGAGCACTGCCTCTGCATATGCATGCTTCACTAGGAAAAATTATATCATTGAAGTGTACAAAGACCTCTAAAAGATTTAAAAATAAAATAACCTGTTTGATAAAGGGGCTAATGAAGTAAAGAGATGGTTCTCAAATGTTGAATGTCAAATGGCTAATAAACATATTATCCCTAGACATTGAAGAAATGCGAAAAAAAACACTACCTTAAGTTTTCTAGGTATACATAGATATATTTCAGATAGATAGGTAATCTTCAAACACTTCAAAGACTTACAGAATATGGCATTTTAAATGTTTTAAGAACTTACGCTTTTTTGGACGTTGAGACATGTCTGCTCCTGGTAGCACCATTGTACTTCAGAGATGATGATGGGTATCAAAAAAAACTCCATATGGAGTTTACTTTCCTTATAGCAAAAGTCAGCCATTTGGGCAAGAAACAGTTCTTGCCTGGACTGCCTGACAAAATGTTGTATTGACTGGGCATGCAAGACCCATGGAAAAATGACCACTAAATTTTGCCAAAATAAGGCAAGATGGTCCGTCAGGTTCCTGCTTTGCAGAGGAGACTGCCAGATATTCTGCAGGACACAGGGAGAAGCACCTCAGAGACTCTGGGCCTATAGGCTGAAGAAGGATGCCCCAATGTTACAGAGGAACTTGGGGCATCCAGGCAACCAGCTGTCTCTGTCATTTCCAGAATTTTGGAAGCTGCTTACAAAGCTTTACTTAGGTAATATTATATCCTTCTGGAGTGTTTGATGCAGTTGAAGACTAAATAGTCATAGTTATAATTCTCCTTGATTATAATAAAAAAATAAATTAGAGATGAAACTTTAGACTCACAAATATAGGCTAGATGATAAAATATTTCCTTTAATTTTGCCAAATATAAATAGACTAGATACTGTAACTGTAATTCTTGCTTGGTAACTATTTTTTATATGTAATTTTACTATATTAAAGTTAAAACCTTATTTTTTGATTAGACAGAAAAGGGGAAGTACTGTAGAATGTCTTTCTGTATATTGTGAATATATGTCACTCTGATTGGTTGATAAATAAAACTGTTTTGGCCTATGGCAAGGCAGCTTAGAGGCAGGTGGAAAATGCAGAGAGAGACAGGAAGAAGAAAGGAGAGGCAAAGAGAAACTAGCTGTTATCAAAGGAAAAGCAAAATGCCAACAGACTGGTAAAGCCATGGCCATGTGATAAAATATAGATTAATAGAAATGGGTTAAGTTATAAGAGCTAGCTAGCAAGAAACCTGCCTTAGGCCATGCAATTAGTAATTAAAAAAGAAAAAAGGATCATAAGGTAGCCTTCACATGTTTTTTAAAAAAAATTATTTGTATGTTTATTTTGCTTGCATGTATGTCTGTGCAGCATTTGTATAACTGGTACCTGGGGAAGCCAAAAGAGGGTACAGGATTCTCTGGAAGAGGAGTTACTTGTAGTTGTAAACAGTAGTGCTGGGAATCAAACCCAGGTTCTCTGTAAAAGCAGTCATTGCTCTTAACCATTGAGCAATGTCTTTGGCTCCTAAATTTTATATGAATCAAATATTAAAATGCAAGTAATAATATGATGGCCTTTTAAAACTCATCTCCCCCACAAACATTAATGAATACAATCCTATCTAGTACAGGTCAGGTATTGGTGATCCAAACATAGTGACCAAGGTGACTAAGACCATTCCTTGGATAACTATGTGGAGAGTACCTAGCTCTTTGTTTTAAAAGTACCAGAATGTCTCCATGTAACCTGGAAATTAATCTTCCAATGAGTCAATAACCACAGAAGTCATACCTGGTTTCATTAGTAACAGTGTTCATTAAATAAAGGATATTCAAATTTAAAAAAAAGATTCCATCTCACCCCAGTCATAATGACATTCGTAAAGAAGACAAATAGCAAATGATAGGAAGGATGTGGACAGAAGGGAGCCCCTCATACACTGCTAGTATGAACATAAACTCATCCAGCCACCATAGAAATCAATATGAGGTTAATCAAAAACCTGAAAATAGAACCACCATATAACCACACTCTACCCCCTATGTATTTATCTGAAGGACTTCAACTCAGTACCTCACATAGATATCTGCACATCAATGTTTATTGCAGTACTGTTCAAAATAGTTTAGCAATAGAACTAACCAATGTGTCTGTCAACAATGGAACAGCTAAAATGTGGGGTTCATAGCCAGTGAAGCTTTTTGGTTATAGACAAGAATGAAGTATGCCGTTTGCAGAAAATGGATATGACTTAAGATAGTCACATTAAACTAATTGTCGTCTCAGAATGGCAACTATCACATTTTTCTCTCTTATAGTGTCTTAGTCACTGTTCCATTGCTGTAAAGAGACACCATGACCAAGGCAACTATTATAAGAAAAAACATTTAATTGGTGACTTGTTTACATTTTCAGAGATTTAATCCATTACCACCATGGCAGGAATCATGGTGGCATGCAGGCAAATGCTTGAGCAGAAGTTGAGAACTACATCCTGAACCATAGACAGAGACAGACTCTTGGCTTACATGGGCTTTTGAAACCTCACAGTCCACCCCTAGTGACACACTTCCTCCAAAAAAGCCATATCTCTTAATCCTTCAAAC